ATCTAAGTTCATCAATATTTACCAGAAAATATCTGAATCAGTTGAATTCTCATTATTATTCCATTAAAATAATGGCTTTGTGGGGATTATCCCCATCTTGTCTGCCAGAAAACTTCTAGGTGGCACTGTTTCAGGACTATAAAAGGAAGGATATAAACCTCTCTTTCTCTTTTAGCTCGCTTAGAAGCAGGATGCAGTAGATAGCAGACATGTCCAGACTTCCCTTCTTAACTAAGGAACATTTTCAGAAAGTTTTATCTCATTTTATACAATTGCTTATTAACAGACCGGATACTGGATCTAATTGGTCTTTCTGTTTACATGCTGGGCATATCAGAACAAGGAAATTTATTTTTATAGGTTAGGTGGCCAGCTTTACTCCCTACATTTTGGTATTTTTACCCATAATTAAGATAAAGAGTGTATTTTACACTTGCTTTTAAATTCAGTGTTATTCTCCTAGACAAAAGGTTGCAGTCTTCCCTGTTATTTAAGCCATAGTTGGGGAGGAAAGACTTGGATTCCTGCCTTTCCCAAGGTCATTAATGCAAAGTCAATACAAACTGTTTCAGCCAGAATTGGGATCCAGCTTGTCAATCAGATTTTTCAAAGTGTTAGACCACTGACATCTCCACATTAATGAATGAAAATCTCAATCTCAGTTTTGAAAATTTATGGAGAAAAATCAAAAAGAAGCTTAAAATCAGAAAAATTTGCTTAAGGGTTGACGCAATCCAAACTATAAAAAAGGTATTTTTTTTCTTGAATCTTTGATGTCAAAAGAAAAAGATCACTACAAAGTTGTTGGGATCTGTACAACAGTTTTTCTTGGTTTTCTTTTGGTATTTTTTTGTTTATTTTTAGTATCCAAAAGCTTAGTTTTTTTCCCTATTTATTTCATATTCATCATATTTATCTGCACATGTTTTTGTATTTTAAAATATCAGTTATTTACATTCTCTCTATTTAAAATTCAAATTTCATAAAATTTCCAGGAAATTTTATTTCCCCTACTATCAATATATATAAAAAAATTTTTTTTAAAACTTCCACATTAAATGCACTAATGGCCAACATGCAAAAAAATACACAATGTTTAAAAACTGATGAAATAGTAAACAATAAAGCTCTTTGAAAATGGCTAGTCCAAAAGTAGTCATATATGGAAATTTTCATATTCCAATACCAACCGGAAATCAGAAGAATTACTGGAAATGTTGAAAGAATAAATAAAAAATATTATCAAAATGGAACTTTTACCGCTTTTTAATGAAACTTGCATAAATGAAAGATTTCTGCCCAAATAGATAATTTTTTAACACTACTAAGAAGATTAAACTTAATTTTACATATTAAAAATAAGAAAATAAAACTAAAGAAATAAAATATGCAACCAAAGTAAAAAATAAATGACATTAAAATCAATTTTATCATGAATGTTCCATTTATTTGATAATTTACAACAGCTGTGAAAAGAAAAAAAAATAGGCATGGGATCCCAACAATAAGCAACACCAGCTGGTTATATCAACCTTTGCCAATCTCTCAATCTGTCCAATGTATAAGACTCAGTAGTTAAATGGAAAAAAGAGAAAAATACAACAGATCAATACCTTTCAGCAGTTGTTAAGGGGACACAGAAAAAGAAAAATTATAGAATTGAATAATGAAATTATTTTATATATTCTCCAATGTTCCCATCAGTTTCTGAGGGAATATATTTTCCATTAATATAGACACTATTCAAAATATAGCCTTTATTTTTGTTATTAATATATTTCAGGTTGATACATTCTACAGTTTTTGTTATTTACTGAAATTCAGGGATAAATAGAATTCTGAAAAGACTTTATTATTCAAACCTGTCTACAACTAAGAGCAACAGAGAAATAGAGGAAGGCAAATGATTACTTAGGATTTTACATGGGAGATTATTGGGTGGTGGGTGTTGGTAATAAATTCTCAGACTTTCATCCCAAGAAAAAATAGAGTCATCAAAAAGAACCTTACAAAATTATCATTTAGTTCACTTTTTTTTTTTTTTTTAAATTAAATTTTGGAAACAGTCCAAAACCAAAACCAGCACCTTTTCTCCCAGTAATGTGAGAAAACATGAAACTTCCAAAAAGTCTGTCTATGAAACCTCTGGAGACAGGGTGTTGAATATAACATCAATCAGCTAAGTGACAAATTTTAATTTATATATATATATATATATATATATATATATATATATATATATATATAAAAAAATATAGTCTTAAGGTGTGCTATATTTATGGGATAAAGTGCTCAATATCAGAGATAGAGCGTGTGTAAATATAAAAGTGAACATAAATTCAACACTTAGAGGCGACAGTCTGTTTCATGCTATATGCAATCGTCAGGCCACATATGCTGTTATTTTTTTCTCAGCTATTTATATATATATGGGTTAGTGGTGCATTGTGGGTATTCTATTATGGCGGTTATTTTTTACCGGAAGTCGCTTTGTTTATTTATTTGGGTCAAATTATATTGCTCGTTTTTATTTTTTGTTTCTTATTTTATTTATTTATTTATTAACGTAGTAAAATTTGTTTATATCACTTATTTAACAGTTTTGTTTTGGTTTGAGAATATAATTAAAGCTATTTGTTCAATTTTGGGGTTGGTTGTTGTAGTTCATTCTAACTATTATTTTTTAAGGGGAACAGTTTTTAATTTGGGATTGGTTTGTCTATTTATTTACTTGGATGAATTTAGGTCAATTTATTTGTATATTTTCTCTTTTGGTTTTTAAAGCAACATAGTATTTTATTTATTTGTTTTATTTTTTTTTTTTTTTTTATTAGAGTATTTGTTTGTTTTATTTTATTTTTTCCGTTTGTCATTTTTTAGGTTACGTAATAAAATTTATTTTCATGCCTACATTTTGAGATGAGCTCGGGATCTCTTATTTAACAATTTATTTTGGTCGGGGAAAGTAATGATAGCTATTTTTCCTCCAAACAAAGTTTGCAAGTTTTTGATTGGTTGTTTGTAGGCTGATGACTTTTTTTTCTTATCTTCAAGATATTTTTGGTGTGATGTGCGTTTTGTTTTTTATTTCCCAGATATACTTAGAAAGCATAGTACTGTTAGCATATTTACTATTTGTGAACGATGTTTTGTGTGTATAATTTCTTTGCTTCCAGGGTCCTTCAGTTACTCCTATGTATACTTTTTTCTTCATTATCTGGTGATTTTATCGTGGCTTGGTATATTACGTTGTTTTGTAAACAATTTCCGTTTAAGGGACATTAGTTCTTTATTCTGCAGTTGCACGCGGGTTTAATTTGTTCGTGTGGTTTGTTGATAATTTTCCTATTGTGCTTTTTTATTATTTGTGCCATGCTCTCGGTGCATCTGTAGCTGATTTTTACTGTGTTTTTGTTGAATATCTTGTGTAAGGTGCTTGATTCTGGGAAGTGTTTGTGTAAGAGTTTGAAAAATAAAAACGAGCAATATAATTTGACCCAAATAAATAAACAAAGCGACTTCCGGTAAAAATAACCGCCATAATAGAATACCCACAATGCACCACTAACCTGTATATATATAAATAGCCGAGAAAAATAACAGCATATATGGCCTGACGATTGCATATAGCATGAAACATACTGTCACCTCGAAGTGTTGAATTCTATGTTCACTTTTATATTTATATATATATATATATATAAAAAGAAAGAACAGTAAGATATATAATCCGGTGTTCTTATTGATATTTTTTATTTTTACAAAACAGTACTCAATGTAAATTTACAGAGCATAAATATTATAAATTAACTGATTTAAAATGTTTTTTTTCACTACACAGTAATAAACATGTTTCAAAATATATATTATACACACACATATTAGGGAAGAAAATATAGGTGTTATCAGTGCAGACAGTGAATTTAGGGCTTTACACTAATGCCCTTGGAGAAGACATGGATTTATTTATTTATTTATTTATTTATTTATTCTCACCTCTAGCTATGGATTAAGTAGTAGAGTAAATTCTTGGGAGGTCAGCAATCATAGAAGAATAACTGAATTCAACCCTCCTCCACCTACCAAAATATTTTGGGTTAGCATGGCAGAGTAAAGTCCATTACTCCATAATGGTTTTAAATTGCATTCCAATTCTATTTTAGATTATTTTTCTAACTGGAAATGCTAAAAATGCAGTATAACAGCCACTGCACACACACATTTTGGCTACTCCCCCACACTGTCTATTAGACACCAAAGAGAATAATCCCCAGCTCTGAAGAAAAAATAAAAATAAAAAAAAATTTTAAAAAAGGGTCAAGGGCAATCTACCCAGACCCATCTTTGTTTTGGGCTTAACAGCTCAGAAATAGGGAGAAGTAATATATAAAATTGCTAAGGATAAATTAAATTAGGAACATCAGCTTAAGCAATTTCAGTGAAGAAAGGACATACCAAACTTGACTGTTTAATAAATTGCGAAAAGAAAACTGAAGTGTCTTCATTTTTTTATAAGAAACACTATATATGGTATACATATAATAGCAAAGAAAAGGCACATTAACACATGTTGGAGGAAATCTGATTGGTTAAAGCTGAAGTATATATTTAGAAACGTAGACCTTGAGTATAATAAAGACTGAGCAAGGATATTGTAATCAAATTAAAGCTGGTAAATACCAGGTGATACCAATGATAACTACTGAAAACATTAAGATAACTTTTTGATGCTGCTGATGATGATGACAATCAAGTTAGTAATGAATCTACTCAAAACTGTAGGTATGTACACATACACTTTATAGATACACATACATAAAGACACAGTATATCTACACATTATTGATAAGAAGCCTATTTGTGACACTAGGTTTTTTGCCTATGTGCATACATGCATGTCTTTATGTGAAAGATAAAGAATGTGAGAGAAAAACAGATGGTATATGTGCATGTCCATCACAAGAAACAGATAGACAAGTGGGAAAGATGAGAGACATTACCATGATTGCCTGGGGCTGTCATGTATGCAATGTAACTGGCATAGTCCTCAATGATGTCCATGAATGAGTCTCCGACCTGAAATTCAAGAATAAAATAGTTAACCAATCAGAAACAGATTGAAAAACTGAAAAAAAAAAAAATAAAAAAAAATAACAAATTACCTGTAATTTTGGGAAAAGGTCATTATTACAAATAGGTATAATATTTTAACTTTAAAAATAGGGAACATAAGATAACTTAATACATAAAATATAAAAAATGTGAAGAAAAAAAATCAAAAAAATCTCATGTTTAATAAGAAAAATCTCATTTAATGAAAAAAGATCTTGTCTCATGTTTAATAAAAAAAAAATCATGTTTTGTGTAAAAAATAAAGAAAAGACATTGCAGAGTAATTATTTTAATTATATAGAGCAACCTAATGTTTAAAAAATAAATAGTGCCATACATTCTGATTTTTTTTTTTTTTAACTTTTTTCATCAGATTGTTTCTTTCTCCTAAGTGATCATGCTTTCCACAAATGTTTATTTTTTATATTATCCAAGAATTGCCATAATTTGGGAAAGATAGTGGAATGGTTTCCTGTTGCCTACAACAGGATTTTTAATTATGAATTGCCCTTCTACTAAACAAGTTAGGCTACATATACATCCATCATTTATAAGAAAAATACTTATATTGTATATGACAGGACATGCAGGGGTGAGAGAAAACAGAATCAATAAACAATGAATTTGAAAATTGCTTGATTTGTTAACATTATTAAAATTACCTATTTTCATGACATCAGCAGGCCATTAAACAGTTTAAGGAAATTTGTATATTTTTACCCTTATTCTTGTATGTCTGAAGATCATGCGACAGAAGTTTCATTTTGTAGATAAATTTCAATCTTGGGTTATATTATAAACTTCCTTATAGAAAGGTACTGTTACACACTTATACTTGGTATAACGTAATTCGTTAAGTATTCTCCATATATAATGCTTAGGTGTTTACCATAACACAGGTATAGTTAGTATGAAGACTGACTCCAATACAATTACTACTGACCTCATAACATGGAACTCTTTATTGTACTGGATGAGTTCATTGAGTCAATGGAGGTATACTCTTTACTCCACAACATCCCCACCTTTGTGATGACTACTTTATTAAATAATATTTTTTATTTAGTATTAGTATCTCCTGCTCTGCTTTCTGAAAAGTTTGCCAACATACTTTGTAGTATCTTCTTTTCCTTGAACTTGTCCGTATAGGTTCCCCAATTTGTTTTGGGGCTGACAAGTCAAAAATGTCATACAGCACTTTAATCAGTTCTTTAGGTCTTTTATCATTGAATTTTTTCTTAAACTGATTTTGATGTCTTTTATGTTGAACATTTTTTTGCTGCCGTTCACCTTTTAAAAAGTTTCTGGTCTAAATAATGAGTAATTCTGTTTTTCAAGACAGCTATTTAATCCAATCAAGAAGTCCACACAAACACAAATTTGATCATTTTTTTTTTCTTTACGTACACTGCTAGTGCAGCCCATTTCAAATAGTTGATTTTCTGCATTAAACCAATTCTTTCTAGTTTGTCCAATTCTTCATTTACTTGTTCTAATGCTGTGAATGGTAAGCTCCATTTCAGTTTAAATACTGGTGTGTAATCTTTTTTAAATGGAAATTCACCCTGGATTTTGAACACTGACCCAGTTCATTAGACAGAACATCAAGAAAACATTTTTTCTAATTCTTCCTTCAGTTTTTCCCTATGACTTTAAATTTGTCACTTGTCCACTTACATTTTACAGTAAGTGTTTATCAGCAAATCCTACATTTCAATAGTTCCATCCAGTCCGTACCAAATAGATTCTTTGCATTTCTTAGAACATAAGCTTTTGTTTTCACCTGCTTATTTCAAAAATAAATATCACGTTAATTCTCTCCCACCCCAATTTTCTTTATTTTTTTTTTACCAGAAACTGAAGTTACGACTTTTTAAAGTCTTTTTTTAATAAAGGTTTTCAAATTTCTTTCCATGTGGTTTCATTTACTATTGAAATGTCACTACCAGTATCTAGTAACATTTTTACTCCCAAATTATTGATTTGCAGGTTATCAAATTTTCTTTTGTTTTGTGTGACTATTTTTGCTGTCACAGTACTGTGTATTATTTTCTTCATACAAAAATATTTTTTTTGTTTAATTCTGCAGTGTGATTTGATATGTTCTTTTTTACCAGTTATAGAACTGTATTTTTCCATGGGTAGTCTTTCCTAAGATGTAATTTTCCACATCTGAAACAAGGTTTTATATTCCTTTTTATGCATTTTTCCTTAGTTTTTAATAAAGTGTTTCAGCATCATGCTTCAGACTTAGCATTGTTTGGCAATCATCCACTATTTCCTGAACTGTTATGTTATTTTCAATCTTTGCTAAAATTTTCACTCATACTTCAGCATCTTTTTCCACTGTTAGACCATGTATGAAAATTAATCCTTTGAAATATCTGGATTCATTTTAAATGATCCAGTTTAAATTGTTCACATTCTCTGTTGACAGTACCCGCATACACGACAAAATTTCACCTGTTTTTCTTGGTAAAATATAATTGTAGCACTTTTCATACTCTATTGGCACTATTTATCTTAACAACCTGGTTTTTATCATTTTCCCAGCTGCTGCATTCCCAACTAAATATTTCTTCATGTTTACGAAAATATGCAGTACATCATCAGGATTGTATACAAATTCTGATAAGATGTTTTACACCACGTCTGGTGTAAGAGACATTGAAACTTTTTCTTCAAAACTATTTCCAACAACTCTTGTTGTTTTTGCAACTGTTGGGTATTTTGTTGTTTTTGCTTCTGTTGTTGTTAAATTTCCACAATGGAAGCCAAAATTTTCTCCATAACTGCAAGAAAAAATTTTTTTTAAACCAACATGGTTGAAGTTCTTGTAACTCTGTTCCACACAGAAGTTACAAAATTCTGGTTGCCCACTATTATAACTCCAGTTATAATATGGTGCTTGTTATACTGCGCTCGAGTTCAAGTTCCTCACCAACTATTATAACTCCAGTTATAATGTGGTGCTTAATTTAGAGATCCTCGTCACCAACTATTATAACTTCAGTTATGATGTTATGTTACTTGTGCATGTGTTCAAATATCCCTGTTGCCAACTTTTATAACTTCCTTATGGAAAGGTATTGTTATAACACACACTTATACTTGGTATAACATAATCCATTAAAGTATTCTCTATATATAATGCTTAGGCTATTGCTGTAATGCCTGTATAGTTAATAAGAAGACTGACTCCAATACAAGTACTACTGACCTCATACCATGAAAATCTTTATAGTATTGGATGAGTTCATAGAGTCACCAAGGGTGTATTCTTTACTCCACAACAGGTTAAAATATCTGTCTATATTTCTGAGATGCGGTATTATGTACATTATTTACATTATATATTCTGAATAATGTAAATAATATAGGTTAAAACATTTTCTAGAAAAACTTGTCATGCCAAAATCATTGTTTTTTCGATTTCAAACAGTAATATTAAGATTCCTATAACAGGAATAAATATAGTTACTGCATAGAAATAATTTATTAGGTTATAAATGACAGACATACTAATTTGGAAGTTGTATCTGACATACATTGTAAATGAGAAAGTCTCAAAGTGGGCAGCATCTTTGTGCATTTCAGACATTTTCAGGTCATTATGAAATTAAAATGAAGATACTGTTTATATTTTTGTAATGTACAATGAACTATTATCACCGAGTTTCAAATCTGTAGACAGAAAATCCTTAGAGTTACAAATGTCAGAAGTTCACTGAAAGCCTTATTTTCAAAACACAAAAAATGCAGTGAATTGCAAGATGCTCTGATTTTAAAACTATTAAAGATATAGATTTAATATTTTAGATTTATTGATAAACTTGATCAAGAAACACCTATGAATTTTCCCAGATTTTTCTGAGAGTCACCTCTTGGCTGTTGACTAATTTGAGATGGAATGACTCATCTGCATTTTCAATCTTTTTATAAAAATCTTTATAAAAGAGAGCATAAAAGATTTTCTCATTTAACCAATTAAAAAAACAAAAAAAAACAAACAAAAAAAAAACAAAAACAAAACAAAAAAAAAAAAAAAACCTTGCTTTTTATAGTGAACCATTGATAAAATGAAAAAAACTGCTTTGAGTTGTGTCAAAGTTTTCCCATTAAAAATAAATCAGCTGATGACATGAAAGCAATAATCAGCAGCTGCAATATTTTTCAATTAAGTCAATTGCTAATCTTACTACTTAAATTTTCTGTTATAAATGGGAAAAGCTAACAGTCCTAAGACTCAAACTTGAATCGGCTGTTATTCCTACTTGAAGAAATTTTATATCAGAATGGACAAATCCTGACACTTGATTTATTATAAAATGTAAAAGAAAAGTTTTGAAAATGGAACAGTACATATTTTTTGTTTAAAATAAAGATTTTTCTCACTTCACTGCCATAAGAATTTAGACCATATTATCACATAAAAAGATAGTCAGTAATATTTATGAACATACTGCAAAAAACATCTATTAATATACCACAAAAAACTAATTCTTTTTATTGGCAGTGATTTTGTTTCTCATTGGTATTTGAACATGTGTTACCTTTTTACAATTTCACCATTTGTTGTTTTTACCAATTTGAAATTATTCCCCCCACCACCGTAGAAAATAAAATGTACCATTTTTGTTTCATTTAATCAATTGTAAAGTAAAAGTATTACAATTAAACATAAGCTGAAATAAATTCAATAAACTTTTAAACAAAAAAAAATTTTTCTTAAATATTATTTAGATTTAATAACATACTAAACTAATGTCAAATAAATTTAGGCACAGATAGGGCTCTATAAAACCAAGGTAAAGGAAATCCAACTAGGAGAAAGAAAACTCTAAAAATCAAACCAAACCTGAACTGGATGACCCATTTATGGGAATAAAGAATGACATTCTGGTGTTCATGTGTAATGTTCTGCTTTCAGATGTGTTCCCTAATACTGCAAGGTAAATCACATTAGGTAAATTTTAATCAGACTATTGCCCTCATCTTTGTCGCCATATTTGTCACGTTTCAGGTGGTTGGAATTTTGAACTGAACCCTTTATTTCTAGTTCCACGTGCCATGTTTGATGGATGTCAGTTATCAGTTATCTCCTGCCAATTTTCCCTCTGAAAGCTCTCCACTGCCTTAACCAGGTATTGAACTCACCTTCTTTGGGTCTGTCACTGGATCTAACCAACGCCTTTATCTACTGTGCCATGTGTCCTTGAGGACATCTGGGTATGAACTTCTGAGTATTATAAACCTAATGTTTTCAGCATCATTTTTACCAGTAAACTGTATTAGTAAGTTGAAATAGTTTGGGAATCCTAGACTATTTTGGATTAGTCACATATATAAAGAGGAGAAAAATAAATTTTGTGCATTGGACTTAAGTCAATTTTATTGACCCAATTTATTCAGAATGTGGACAAAAATATCTTCACTCTTACAGCTCATCCAACCATATCATAAATGAAGTAGGTTGCGAGTGTGGGCTGAAAATTTAATTGGCTGACTATGGAGGTGTGATGCTAGAGCTGGGTAATCTTGTATATATTAATTTCAACTATTCCTATTAATTGACTGCATTTGAACATGGTTTCGTTCCAAGCAAAATGACATCTGACTGTTCAAAGAAGACTGTTCATCCTGTTGGTCAAAAAAGTCAGCAAATATGACATCATCACTGCAAAACTGGTTCCCAGCCAAGTGTTTTTTTCATGTTGGGGAACAGAGGATAGTCAAATCAGGCAAATAGCGTGGGTGATCAATCATTTATAGCCACAGTCATGCACAACAGTTACTGAAACCAAGGACTTGTGTGCTGGAGCATTGTCCTGATTAAACAAGATTCTTTTATCAGTTTTTCTAGGTGTTTGGTCTTGATAAGCCTTTCATAACTACCTCAGCAAAATTAGCATAGTACTCTCCATTGATGGTATGACCTTTTTCAAGATAGTCAATATACACAATGGCTAAATATTGCAGCTGAAATGGAAACCTAATAAACATTTATTTCTTGTAAGGAAGAAATGAGGTTATATTTTTTTTTTAAAATTAAGGTAAAAAAAACAAACTCAACTTACCGTTCCTCCATCGCTTTCTAAATCATATCCAAAGTCTCCAACATGAAAGATAGCTGAATATTTTCCATTTCTGATCTCATTTGTGAGCACCGTGTGAATATGAGATTGGACGCCTAAGTCACCAAATAAGATGAATGAAGGAGACCAATT